TTTTAAAATGTATCTAAGACACGGAAACATAATGAACTGTATATGAGTATGCAATCTGCAAAATCCAGACTGTAGGATATACAGGTCAAATGACCCAAGTTCTTCATCAGATAAATTGTAAGGAAAAGAAAATAGGGTGAGCAGCTATAGATTAAAAAAGATCTTAAAAATTTAAATGAGCAACACTACATTTTATAGTGCCAAAGAATACAGATTTATGAAAAAAACTTTTAACACAAGGAAGCAATTACTATAAAAGTCAGAAAAATGGCTACTAATGCAAGTACAGAAGTAGTTGTGATTGGGATGGAGCAAAGTCTTGGCATGGCTAGCATGGTTCTCCACCCTGACCTGGGTGGTATCGACTTCATAATCTTTCCTAATCAAAATTCGTTTTTTTAATAAAATGAATTTGTTAAATAACAATAAAAGCAAAAGTAGAGGAATTACTAACCAAAAGAAAGCTGGTATAGCCAGATTGCCTGGGTTCAAATCATGGATTCTGCCGCACAACCAAAAAGTACTGATCTGTGGCTCAATTTCCTTATCATAAAATGAGGATAATAAAAGTACTTTACTCATAGATTCTTGTGAAGGCTAGGAAAGTGAATATAGAAAGGATCAACAGAACAGTGCCTGGCACACAGCAGGACAGAGGTGGTGATCAGAGTTGGCGACTAGCTGTGTTAATTCTCTAATTAACCTCTCTAGGCTTCAGTTTCCTTAACTGAGTTTAAAATATCTGATAGGATTATGAGGAGTCAAAAAGAAATATATTATAGTATTCCATAAATAGATCCTTCCCATGGCCTCTCAACATCCAGAGAGTCACCTGTCACATCAGACATACCTCAGTCATAGCACATTCCTCTTGCACTTTTCACCTGGTCATTCAAGTTGATCTCAATGAAATGATCACCCAGTGAGTCTCACGTCTGAAACTGGATCTTCATCTAGGTTTCAAAAAGATAAACAGACCTAAATCTTAAAATATTTAACCTCCTAGTAAGAATGGTCTTGTGTTATTCCACTAAACTGAAGCTGGAACAACTGAAGTAGCTGCTAATGGACATTGATGCTCATTATAATGTGCCTTTGCCCTTGTCTTCTTTCCCCTTATCTTTCCTCTTCCTGCTTTTGTTGAAATGTTTAGCTGGGAGTCCAAATCTTTCATTATCTATCAACAATTCTGATTCTGGATTCAAAAGTAGAATATTCTAATTGGCAAGGGTACTAAAATGAAGCCCTCTCAGACAGATACCACCAAATACAGAAGATAAAGGCAGAGAGAACCTTCACAATTTCACCTGTGACCAAGCCCTCCTTTTCAGAGGCCCATGTTGTGAAACAAATATGTCAATAGTTTGCAACAGCCTTTTCCCCACTTACAGGCTGTAACAGGACACAGATGTGGAACTCCGAGTCACTAGAAAAGACCCAATGCTTCCTAAGTCCAAAGCAGAAGCTGCAATGAGCTTCAATCAGTCTCATAATACACCTGAAGTAAGACTGTGGGAATAGGAATTGCAGGGAGAAGCAGACGGTTTGTACAAGGCATAGAAAGCCAAGAGAAGAGACGCAAAACAGTTTTATCTTCTTGCCCTGCCCAGGTTTCACAAGAACCCTTTGGTAACTTGCCCTTTCTAGGTCTGAAGCCCCTGCAACACGCACCATACATTAAAATGTAATTATTTTTCACTACTTTTTTGGGAACAAGCTAGAAATTAAGCATGGCCAGTAGCTGTTCTTTCTCAAGTGAGTCACATAAAAATCTCTAATTAGCTTTCTCAAAAGTATCTCACTTTACTGCAATAAATGGAACACACAATGCTTTCAAAATCTCTATTGTCTATTAAATGCAAAAGCTCTTTTCCAAAAATATGCCAACATGCTGTTTAACGTTCCTAAGAAGAACTGAATCTACCATAAATAAGGAAACAGAATTAGGATTGGATCTCGTCTCGACCAAATATGTCTCAGGAGGTTATATAAAGGGTCAAACATGACACTTCCCCTTTGAAGCAGAAGCTGCGGACAAAACCCTAGTCGGCCACCTCTTCCCCAAGGTGGGATAGGGAAGGCCCAAGTCTACCTGGCAATACCAAAAGTAAGAATTAAACCCCATGCAGAGGATTGAAACCAATGTGGGTAATGCCTACACAGAACTTAACATTACCATGGTTAGAAAATAAGTAATATAGAAACTCTTCTGTTTGGTCGGTGTTACGGGTCTCCGAGCCTTGCAACATCTCCACCTCGTTGATTTCCTTAATAAAATCAAATTAAACTCCGCATAAAGTAAAAGGCCTTCCGACCGTGGAATGAAACTAACAAACCGAAGAAAGGGATACTCACCTAACCCGTCGCGTATCCCCCACCTTCTGCTCCGAGCTTTCACTAGCCATGCAACCTTCTCAGACACCTTGGCACTGAAAAGTTGAGCAGGCTGGCCCTAGTCGACTGTCGGGGATGGATAAACCAACTACAACTTATCCAAAATCCAGTTTACGCCGGGAATCACTCCAAGCTTCATACTTACGGCCTCATTTAACCTTCTCAGCCACCATGGCAGGCAAGAATAACCAGCTGTATTCTACAAATGAAGAAACTGAGGCGCTAAGACATTAAATGAGAAGCCTAAGATAACAAACGGCGGATTGCCAGTTCTCCTCCTTATCCTGGGATTTTTAATTGGCGCAAACCCGTCCCAGGCGGCTCCTCTCCGGGGACCCCAGCAAGGGTCAGTTTAACCGCTCGCAAGGTACAGGTGGGGCCAGTTCCCGAGGCTCCTCAGGGAGGGGCTCTACCCAACGCCTCGGTAAACCCCGAGGGCCGCTCACCTTCCTCAGCCGCCGCCTCCCTCCAGCAGCGAGCCCAGCTTGTCCGGCTCAGCCGCCTCCGGCCCCGCGTCTACGACCGTTACCGCCGTGGGAGGCCGGCCAATCGAGCCCGAGCGCGTCGAGGGACCTGCCTCGCTCAGCCTCTGAACGCCCGGGCGATTGTCTCGGGCTGCCGTCGGAGGCTGGGACTCCCCCGAGTCCTCTGGTTGGCTCCGCTGTTGAGGGCGGGGCTTACCAGAACGTAGGCGGGAGCGTGCTGCGCTTGCTTTGTCGTCTGCGCGTGCGCACTTCCATTGCCACGAACTCTGGCAGCGCAAGCACTTTATCATTTACCCGGATCCTCTTTTGCAGGGGAGACTTCAGAAATCCACGTTTGAGGCGATCGGTGAAAGACAGGTCCGGACCACGTGGCTGTCCTCCACATACATACACATGCGGTGTCTGTGAACTCTTGCTGCGGGGTCTGGTCAGCCTGATCTTTGTGTTCCAGACCTGGCTAAGCACTGCATCGCCTGGCATTTGGAGGATGCAAATAAGTGTTTGTTGTTGACGTTTTTACCCTCCCATTCAGCATTTTCCAGATCTCCACAAAGTGTCAGGCAATACATCAAGCTCCAGAAATGCAAAAGCGGCTGACTGGAGACATTCAAAGTCTAGTTAGGGAGATGGATATATACTCTGAAAGTAAGGTACAGTCTGATAGGCATAATCAGAGAAAGGTGCTGACTAAAACAAAAAACAACAACAAAAAAACACACACACACAACCTAAAAGTTGAGAATTATGCTTTATTCAGCGGACGTACTGAAGATTTATGCCCAGGAGAGCGCCCCTCAGATAGTTCTGAGGGACTGTTCCCAAAAGGTAAGGGAGGGTCCAGGATATATAGGAATTTTGACCAAAATAAAACAGGTATTGGAACATAAAAGATTACTGTTAAAGAAAAGCCAGGCATCTCAAGTCAATGAATTTAGCACTCTTCTAAGTATGGGAAGATGCAAGAGTTTGGGCTCATCGAAATTATTCCTTTGATATGCACCTTAACTGTCTAGGGCCAGTATCTTGTCTTCTCCATCCTGAATCTCCTCAGGGTGCACGTGCGGGTAAGGGGGAGCTGCAATGACTGATGGCTTGAAAGACACGACATCCTTTGTTTACTAATCTGGCAGGCGACATTCTTTGTCCACAGTGTGCAGGGCACATAAAAGAAAGCGGAATATTTACCTCAGTGGGTCACTGGAGCCTTCCTCAACCAGTAGGTCTCAACCCTGGCTGCACACTACAATCACCTATGGAGTTTTGAAAATGAATCTCAGGCCCCAAACCAATTAAATCAGAATCTGCCAGGTGGCACCCAGGTGTCAATGGTTTGTAAATCTCCCCAGGTGATTCCAATGTGCAGCCAAGCCACAAAACTGCAAACCTAGAGAGATGCATAAGAAGGATTCTGAATGGTGAACAAGAGTACCCCAGAAATACATAGAGGAAAGGTATTCAGAGAAAACTTAATGTCCAAATTAAGACAATAACTCCAAAACACATTATTAAAATGAGTAGTTCACAAGTGCTCAGTAAACCTTGCTCTTCTTTTTTTCCCTTTAATTAAACCTGGGCCCCATTGGTACAGCTTATATCTGCCCTCCCCAAAAAAACCTAACCCCCAATGCATTGGCAAATATAATGGGCTTCCTGAGGAACTGAGGAGTGTGTTGCATCGTTGGAGAATCAGAGGAGGAAGGCCTTGGCAGGTGTGCTAAGGAGCTGGGACTTTGTCCTGGAGGTGATGGGGAACTACAGATCAGTTTCCAAAAGAAGTATAAAATGGAAAGGTTTTTGTTTGGGTAGCTTTAATCCTAACTTTCTTGCATCCTCACATATAAGTAAAAACTGAAAAGAAAAAAAAAAGCTCCATGGTGTACAAATATGATGACTGCTCTTTTTTTTTCCCACAAAAGAAAATCAACTCAATCCTCTGTTTCTCACTTTAATAAATTCAGAATCTAAAAACAGGTCTCCTGCCCACCATTTTCAAAACTCATAGCGGGTTAAGTGATCCAAAAATTCCGAACGGAAAATCCAGCTGCCATATACTTGAAGGGAAGGACTGTCGGCCATTGTCATCGCATCTTATAGCCACACGATGTCGCTGTTGACAACCTGTACTTTCCAATTGGTCAAAGGACGCAGGCTGAGGATAGCAGGTCCCACAAGGGCCAACAGGGATCTTCTGCTGAGGGGTTTAGCCATGGTGTCTCTCACAAAGAGGTCTCAGGGTCACAGCTTTTAGGGTTCAACTTTTAAGACCATACTCAGCCTTCTTCCAGGCAGCTAGAGCCACTTTGAGTTTGATCTCTTTGTCTGCCCCATCCAAGTATATCCTCACCCCACCCCAACCCCCTGCCCTCTCCATACTTAGCTATTCACACTAGCAGTGGATTTTCACTTTCAACCCTTGAAACTTAAACAGTCTCACTGCTTGCCTTTTCCAAGATAATAAGGTGACTTACCCACTCTTCTAAAGGTAGCTGCCCTAATTATGGCCAGGAAGCCAAACATCATTGGTCAGTTAGGATTATTTTGGCTGCAAATAACAGAAAACCTGATTTGAATTGTCTTCTTAAGCAATAAGGAAATTATCTCACATAACAGGAAATCCAGAGACAATACAGACTTTGGGGTCGGTTAATGCAGTGGTTCAACAAGTGATTAAGGGCCCAGTTTTTCCTCTGCTGTAAGCATTGTAGGTTTAAAATTCATATGAAAGTGATGTTCTAGATGTTTGACCAGGAGCAATCAGGATCACATGCTTTCTTTTCCATCTGAAATCCTTCCTTCTGGGTTTTTGAGCCAATTAGGTCACACAGGCAGGTCCTCTGCCTCTAATCAGTAACTGGCCGGCAAACGTGCAGATGATTTAAGTATGGGTTCCAGAAGGGAAAAGGGTGACCATAATTGGAATCAGGGGGTTGGAGCCTCCTTGAGTCACGTGGATTGCAAGATGGAAGCATGGCTACTTGAGTAAAATTGGAGCCCTTGAAGGGGCAAGAGGACAATGGGTGCTAGATGGATGATCACCAGTATCCCTCCCAATCTTCAAAGCGCAAAAGAGGCTGATTATTCTCTAATTCCTAACAACAGGAACCTCCCCCTCATCACTCCTGGATTTTGCATGTAGCAAGTGAAGGGGAGGAACTCTATAGTACTGTCCTCCAAAGGAATCCCTTCTTATGAACCCCTAAGGACTTCCCAGTACCTCTCTTTACTAGAACAGGAAAGGATTCTGCACACAAGTTCAGTCTTTAGCGCAGCATCCTGCTGCTCTGGTCTCAAGAGTTTTCTATGGGCCTCAACTACCAGGATTCTAATGGTTCCAAACACTCATTTAACATTCGTTCATTTACAAAAGTTTATTAAGCATCTGTTATGTACCAGGGGTTGAACTAGATGCTGAGTTCACAGTGGTGGGTAAACCAAGTGTAGTTCCTGTCCTCATGAAGCTTATTGTATACTTGGGAAGAGAAATACGAAACAAATACAAATAAGCACATAATTTTAAGTGCTATGAAGGAAGAGAATAGAGTATGTGGAGGAGGCCTCTCTGAGGAAGTGACATTTAAGCTGACATCCAAAGCCTGTCTTCATTCGGCTTACTGCTTTCCTCTGTGCTTTGACTTCCCAGTATAAATTACATCCTACATCAGCAAGTTAAAACAGATCTCTTCATTTCTAAACTTTTAAACTGATTCTCAAAATTTCTTCTGGGTATAGAACTACCAGATTTCTCCCAACAAGGAGTATATCGAATATAAATGGCATTTGGTGATGAATTCTTGAAGATTCTTCAACTCACAAGTCTTTTAGACTAAGACTTCTTTATTACAGTAATACATTTGTTCTGCCTCCCCCATGAGAACCTGAACTTCTGGGAACATGAGTCATACCTCACTAAACTTCTTCCAGCACCTGGCTTAGTCCCTGGTACACAGTAGGTGCTCAATACAGAGTTGAATCACATTGTTAAATTTGAGTCAGATTTATATAGGGGCATGCACCCTCAGTAGCCATTTTCCAATATGAAAGACAAGAAGCAAGTAACTCAGGCAAATATATTAATAACAAATGCTTAACCCATACAGAATAATAATAGTTATATTAATTGACCCTTAAAGTGTGTCAGGCTCTGGGCTAAGCACTTCCACTTTCTAACTTGTTGACTCTTCACAACTTTAATGTAAATACTGTTATTACCTTTATTTTACAAATGATCCAATTAGAAAACAGAAATTTTAAAAATGACTTGCTAAGGTCACACAGCTAGTATGGCCGAGCCAGGCTCCAGCATTCAGGCTCCACTAACCACTTCATTAACCACTTGACCATAGCACTTCTCACAATGGGTGTGTGCTCTACCATAAGATTGCTGTACGTACTTATTTCAGCTTGCAATGATTTCATCTGCCTGTGTATTATCTATTGCCACATAATAAGGTGCCCCTACTCCTAGCAGCTTAAAACAAATATTTATTATCTGGAAGTTTCTGTGGCTTAAGAATACAGGAGTGGCCTAGCTGGATGGTCTGGACAAATCTTTCATGAGGGTGCAGTCAACCTGTTGGCCGGGGCAACAGTCAGCTCAAGGTTCAAGTGGATTGAAGGCTTTATTTCCAAACTCACTCATGTGGTTGTTGGTCGGCCTCAGTTTGTTCCTTTTCAAGCAGGCCTCCCCACAGGCTGCCTGAGCGTTCACACATGGCAGCAGCTGTCCACAGAGGGAGAGACCAAAGAGAATGTGCAAGCACCTAAGACAGAAGCTGAAGTCTTTTTTATAATCTAACCTGGGATGTGACATAGCATCGCTCCTAAACGTGGGCAAGACTACACACGGACGTGAATACTAAGAGGTGGGGATCCTTGCGAATCATCTTGAAGGCAGCCTACCTCCGCGTATCTGCTC